TTATTATTATTATTATTATTATTATTATTATTATTATTATTATTATTATTATTTTTATTATTTAACATTAATTATATTCAAGGATAGTTTGGCCAAGTTAATAACGCCGCCGAATGGTATATTTTAATTATTTGATAATATTGCTCTTAGGCACTCTATTTTTTATTTCATGCTTTAATTTTTTTCCTTTTTTTTTTTTTTTTAATTTCAATCAACGTCTGTATGAAAAGCGTGACTGTTTGTGTCAGCCTAGGACCCTAAGCCTATACTAGGTATGACATAACATAGCCTGTAGTTAGGCCCATAGTTTATCCTCTTTCTCTCTAGCCTTTGGTATTACTGTACCTATCAACACTTTATAAAAAGGGGTACTAGCTGTTGTTGTTGTTGTATATATTATACTCTGTCTCTTATATAATAAACATCCAAGAAGGTCACAGTTAGTTACAGTACATCCCATAAATCCGTAAGATATCATAGGCCAAAGAGCAATAATAGAAAAACTCGAGCTTCACGACATTGCGAAGTGTCTGCTCTCGTTCCTCGTATCGAACGTAGTCGAGTCAATCCGAGATGGCCCGAGTGAAGTTTCGTGCAAATGTTTCGTACGGAAAAAAATCGCATCCAGTACGCTACTTACTCTAAGATGAACCCTGTACGTGACATGTGGTACAGCTTACGCTGATATCCACTGTGGTACCAAGAGGAATTCAATTATTAGTTATTAGTTAATACACATTAATAACATTTATTTGTTTTGTTCTATAGTTCATTTTCCTACTGTAAGAAGAAACCCTGTATATGACATGTGATACAGCATGCGCTGATATTCTGAGTAAAATGCAAAGAAATCATATACATTACTATCTATTTGTAATATTACATGTGGTACAGCATGCGCTGATGTCCAGTATAATGCCCACTCTAAGAAAACCACTGCAGACCTAATGACATGCGGTACAGCATGCGCTGATATCCGGAGTAATTGTGAAGAAACACACACCCAGTTAACATGTGGTACAGCATGCGCTGATATCCACTGTAATCCCCAGAAGGATGTACTTATAATAGTTATACATTCATAATATTTATTGATATTGTTTTATAGTTTATTTCCAATGTGGACGGGACGTTGCTTTCGCTAAAAATGCCATAGAATAAATATTATATTTAAAGAAATACACAGCATGTACAGTATGCGCTGACACATGAGCAAATGAGTAACAGAAACAAACAATTGTGATGAAAAGAGCTCGGAGACGAGCCAAGCTAGAGGGTAGAAATTTAGCTATTGTTAAGGGTAAAATGACTTGGTCTGATGTAACGTTTGAAAGCGTTGCTCGACCATCTGCCAGAAACCATAGTTTCGTTCTCGGCAGCGCCTAGGCTATGTAGTTCGGTTGCCCTTCCTATCCTGAAAGAGTGTGTGTTGAAACGCCTGTGGTCTAGATTAGCATAACGTGCGCACAATCTTAGTGTTTCAGACAGATGTGCCCTGTTTACTGG